TGCTGGTCTTTCTCCCCGCTCCTCTCCATGCCCACACTGACTAATTAACGTGTGGCTTTCCCTCCCTCTTTCTTGCGCATTTCCCTCCCATATCAAGACCTTCAGACCGAGGGCAATGTGGATAATTTCCCAGCTCTCCAGCTGGGCAGTTCCCCAAGAACAAACCCAGACATCAAGGCCAGACCAAAAAAATCTTCTTGTTTTAGACAGAAGACTCCTACATCTGGGGGATTTAATGCACCCACTGTCCGCTCAGTGCATTTCCTGTGTCCGGAGCTTCTCTGCCTGCCGGCTCTGGTCTCATAAGTTTCCACACCCTGCTGCCAACTTATAATAACAGGGCAGCAGGCAGCAGGGTGGGAACGGCAGAGTCTCCTCCATACGTGGGCGCATGCTTTGCAAACTGAAACAAAGCTTGGAAGGTCTCATCGCAGGCCTTTCAGCCTTGACAGTTGTTGTGCCCAGACCACCAGGAGCCTGGAATTAAATACCCTTGGATCCAGTTCTCCACCATTAATGTTATCAACTTCAAGTACTTCCTCTTTGAGTGGTGTCTGCAGAGAAATAAATAAATCAAGCTCCTCCAGGTCCTGTTCCTGCCTGGACCCTGAGTCAAAAGTAAAATCTGAGTTGGATTAATCCAGAGCACTGTCTCTCTCCCTCCTTCATTGTTCCCAAAGATCTGGGCAGGAACGGAGAGTGAAATCTCTCCAGGACATTACATCAGTTCCTCTTTTACCCTTGGCATGGAAATTCTTCCTCTCAGAGTCCACCCAGACTTCCTAGGGCTTGCCCCGAGTGCACACCCATGCACTGAGCCTTGAAGCCCAAGACATCAAAGAGAGCCTGCAGGTGACCAGACTCCTGGCCAACGCCTGTGTCTGTTTTAAAATTTGTAAGACAGGAAATGGATTCAGGATATAGGATTTTTCAGTACATGGTCTTCATCATCCTTAAGTATTTTTAAGCCCTAATAAGCTTTAAGTAAAGGGAAATATTCTGTATATGGCATTTAGAAGAAAATGCAAAAACTTGAAAACACAACCGTCTTAAGTAGTTGCTTATCATGGTCATGTTCTGTGACAGAGAAGAGATAAATTCATTTTTGGGGACAGCAGAGTCAAGGTCTGTATTAGCTATGAAAAGAAAACTTGCCTCATCCCCAAAAGATGGTAGATCATTTCTGTCATGCTAATCATCTCAGCCATTAAAATTAATTACGTGGGCCTAATCCGTTAAGTACCCTGTAAGTATTTATTTGCATTTGGGTTAAAGTGAAGAATTGTAGTACTTGTTATCCCAACCTGTATTCTTGCAAGGTTGACTAAGTACTTAAAAAAAAAAAGAAAAGAAAAGAAATGCTTTTTATAGTGGAAAATATCAAACTTAGGCAAAACTAGAGAGAATAATTTAATGAGCGACAATGTACCCATCACCAGCTTCAGTGATCAACTCATTACCAATCTTGTTTCCTCTGTGCCCCACCTACTCTCTGCTTCACCATCCCAAATTAAAGCAAATTCCAGATACATAGTTTCATCTGTAAATATACCAGTACAGGTCTGAAAAGAGAAGGACCCTTTATAAAATCTTAATCACAAGGCCATCACATCACCTGAAAACTGACAGTTCTTCAATATCATCAAATGTCTTATTAATGTTTACATTTTTTCCAACTATCTCATATGTGTTTTTACAGTTTCCTTGAATAAGAGTCCAAACAAGGGTCTATACATTGCAGATGGTTGATGTGTCTCTTAAGTCCCTTTTAGTGTATGGGTCTCCGTTTATATCTTTCTTGTGTACATGCTTGCACTCTCTCTCTCTCTCTCTCTCTCTCTTTCTCTGGGTGTTTAAAAGAGAAGTTAGCCATCATTAGTATAACTTTACCTGTGTACATAGTGTATCTTTTTTTCCCCTCTGGTTGCTTTCAGGATTTTCTCTTTATCTTTGGTTTTCAGCAGTTTGACTATGAAATGCCTGGATGTAGCTTTTGTATTTATCCTGCTTTGTATTTACTGAGCATCTTGGATCTATAAGTTTCCTGTTGTTGTTACCAAATTGGAGGACCATTTGGTCATTATTTGGGTTTGGGGTTTTTTGGGGGCGGGGGGAGGGGTTGGTCCCATCCTTTCTGTTCTCTTCTTCTTGGATTCCAATTACATGTCCATTAGACCATTTAATATTGTTCCACAGGTCACTGAGGATCTATTTGTTTATTTGTTTCTAATTCTCATTGATGTGTCTTCAAATTTACTAACCTTCCTTCTGTCATCTCCAGTCTGCTGTTAAGTACATCCAGTCCAATCTTTCAGATATTGTGTTTTTCAGTCCTAGAATCTTCTTAAGTTTCCATTTTTTTTTCTGACAGTCTCCATCTGTCATATCTCATTATGACCATCATTTCCTTCAAGTGCTTACACTTATTTCTAATAGCTACTTTGAGGTTCTTTTTTGCCAATACCAACATCTAGATGATCTCAGAGTCTGTTTCTGTTGACTGCCTTTCCTCTTGATTATGGGTCACATTTTTCTGTTTTTTTCACGTGTCCCGAAAATCCTTATTGAATAACTGGACGTTATAGATGATACATTGTAGAGACTCTAGATTATGTTATATTCCTCTGAAGAATGTTGGTTTTTGCTCTAGCTGATAAACCACTAGCCAGTCGCTTTGAGTTTGCAGAGGCTTGGTCTTACATTTGCTTAGGGCAGATCTCTTTCAGTTTTGCCTATAGCCCTGAGGCAAATCCCTTTGTCCTGGAGCTAGTTTTTACTCCTAAGGTGTGGCTGTTCTGGGGTAATAAACAGCCTGAGGTGTTTACAGAGCCTTTGTTGCTAGGGCTCAAATCCTGCATTCTCTCTCCAATCTAGTGGCCAGTAGCTGACATTCCTGCTCTTATGTTTCAGCCATACAGCTGTTGTTTTCACTGAGCTCCTTAGTGGTCCTCCTTGCACATGTGCCATTCAGGAGCACATATTAGGGATGTGAGGGAAGTTTATGTGCCAATTTAGTGGCTATTCCCCCTGCAGCTCTCCCCTTTATAGGATCTGCTTTCTCGATTTTTTGCCATTCTGGAGCCCCATACTCTGTTCCCTGACAGATTATAGAACTTGCAGTTCATTTGCAGCTGCCCCCTGCTACAGGGACTGGGGAAGACCCTCGGGGATATATAAATTTGGATCTCACTTGTGCAGTTCTCTTCTTTCAAGAGTAAAATGCCCTTCAGTTTTCTCCAGCACCTTCAAATAACTTGTAAATGTATTATATCCAGATTCCATCATTTCTATATGTAGGAAGGTTAGTTTGATACAAGCCGGGAAACTGGAATCCCCTTCTCCTTTATCACAGAAAGGTGGTAGCGTGCCAAAATACGTCACCTGGCTTTGCATACCTAATCATAGAACCTGGAGACCAGTCCTTAGCAGAATATTAAGACACTCCTTGTTCCATTTTATACCTGCCATTGTTTAGAGATAGAGATATAGTATCATTTATTAAGCCAGTCTCCCATTGATAGCTATTCCAACAAGTAAGCACTTTTAAATTCACGGCAGCAGGTTACACAGTAGTTACAAAATAAACCCTTTGCCTTCAAGCAGATGCTCTTTTAGTGATCGTGAACATTTCTTTTGTTCACTGTCTCATATAACCGAGATCTAGAGGAATCCTCATTCTTCTATTAATCCTATGGAAAACTTTGAGACACTACCAGCTCGGTCTCTGTTTACTAACCCTGTCAGATTCCTAGATCCCCTTCATATGTTCTTCACATAGATACTGTCATAAGGGACAAAGGGAGGTATCTTTTGACTTGCTTTACTTAGAATCATGGACAAATCTTTGACCATACAAGGACCTGAAAGCATGTGCATCGTTTTGGTGAGACAGCTCTGGGAGGAGATGTGGCCAGAGAAACCTCATTAAGATGAGTGGGAGGCACTGTAGAAAGCTCCATTTTCGTAGGCAGATTTTCGCCCTTCCTTCCCCTAAGCAGGGACTCCTAAAGCCACGTGTGTGCCCATCCCCCTCCCATCCCAGCCCACAGGACTGCTTCTGTTGCTGAGCCGTGTACACTTCCGATGTTGTCCGTGCTCAGATGGCACCAGCTTGAAAGGTCAAGTGGGAGGGGGTAGAGGCATTGTTGGAGGTGTCTTTCCCTCCTTTTCCTTACTTACCGCTGCCTGTCTCTGAGCATTTGTAGGCTCTGTGCACTCAGAAACAAAGTCATCCTAAATCTTCTGTCAAGTACAAGATTGCCAGTCTGTAAATTTGGCCCACCGTCCATGCTTAAAGCAGGTTTTGCTATCACTTTTCCCCTTGGTTTCTGTATATAGCAAAGTGGCAGATACCATAATGGGTACCTAGATTCTAGACTCTTACTGGAGTCTGGGTCTCATTGCCTCACCAGCTGTGTGTCTTTGAATAAGTTGCTTAACTTCTTTATGCCTCCATTTTATCACCTGTAAAACAGGAGTACTGGTATTAGCATCTCCTACTGAGGAGTTTTATACATTTAAACAACATAATCCAGTACCAAGGATATAGTAGCTACTTTAGCAGTAGTAATAATAGTATCATGAACACCAATAACAACGTCCCAGAAGTAGAGAATATATAAATTTAGTTATGAAGATGTAAGTCAGTGAAAGCATCTAGAAAGAAACTAGAAAGGACCCCAAAAGCCACGTCAAAGAGTCAAGTAACCAAAAGCTAAAGAACATGGGTTTGGCTTCCTTGTGTTTATAAGCCACTAGTAAGTGATTAATGGAATGCTTGTAGACATTCTTAGACTGTCTAGTGTAAGAAAAGAATTTCAAGTATGCGCACTTCAATTGTTTTTTTAAGCAGTGGAAAAGACACTCCATCTCGAGGGACAGACGGTCTGCCTGGCACACGTCCGGGCTCCACTCACTGTTTACTGCCTTTAGAACCGCAGTGGGGTTCCTCTCCTGCCAGTTGACTGGGGTCAGTGATCGTCTCTCCCTCTGCTCCACAGATAATTGTGTCCAGAGGACCCCAAGGCCACCAGTGGAGAACGTGCACCACAACCCCCCCACCATTGAACTGTTGCACCGGTCTAGATCACCTGTCACAGCCAATCACCGGCCTTCTCCCGACCCCGAGCAGCGGCCCCTCCGGTCCCCCCTGGACAACATGATCCGCCGCCTCTCCCCGGCCGAGAGGGCCCAGGGGCCGAGGCTCCACCAGGAGAACAACCACCAGGAGTCCTACCCCCTGTCAGTGTCTCCCATGGAGAATAACCACTGCCCACCGTCCTCTGAGCCCCACCAGAAGCCATCGAGCCCCCGGCAGGAGAGCACCCGCGTGATCCAGCTGATGCCCAGCCCCATCATGCACCCTTTGATCCTGAACCCCCGGCACTCCGTGGATTTCAAACAGTCCAGGCTCTCCGAGGACGGGCTGCATAGGGAAGGGAAGCCCATCAACCTCTCCCATCGGGAAGACCTGGCGTACATGAACCACATCATGGTGTCTGTCTCCCCACCCGAGGAGCACGCCATGCCCATTGGGAGAATAGCAGGTAGGTGAACGCACCCCTCCGCCACCAGTCCGGCCTCTGGGGCGACCTGACAAAGCCCTGCTCGCTCCCCAGCCTTGCAGTGAGCCTCACACCGTTCCCAATTAGGCACCCTCAGAGGCTCTGTGAGGGCAAGTGGAGGCTTCTGCCTGAATGAAGTGAAATCCCTAATGGGCTAGTTAATGAGCCGCTGGGATGGAGTAGTTAATGAGCCTCAGAAATGTTAAGAAACAAATGTCCTACGTCCAACTTACAAGGAGAGTCACATCAGAATCATGGCTAAGCGAAAACATTTAAAATAAAAGGTTTATGAGCATGCTAATGGCCCTGTCTTGAAGTTTCCAGCAGCTAATTAATGACCAGACACAGCATAAAGAACCTTTGTCTCCGATTCAGACCTGTCATCCCATCCTATGGGCAGTAACTCAATGTAGCCTTCACCTTGGGAGAAGGTAGGAGAGAAAAACACGGTTATGGTGTTGTAGGCAGGTGTTGCTGGGTCATTTGGACGAAGGAAACCACTCCCAAATTCTTTTACTTTTATGATGACAAGCCCAAATTTGCTTCCCTAAGACAAGAAACCAGTGGAAACCAGGGGAAAAAATCTACACGTTGTATTTGTGCTAGTCTGCCCATAATTTACATGAAGTCATTCTCCAGACACTTAACCCTCCAGCCACGTGGCAAGGGCAGCTCTTTTCCTAGAGCATCTCTGCATCTCTGCATTCATGAGACATTTATTGAGCACCCACTGTGCACAGATAAATGCATTAGGAAGTAGGGGGACACAGAGCTGCTTTAACACAATTATTTCCTCGAGGAATTTAAAATTTCCTGGGAGAGACAGATGTGAAAACCACCCACTAAGATACAAGGCAGAATGAAGTCAGTCCTGTGACCCATTCATCCAGTGCATGTGCACTTATTGAGTACTGACTGTGTACTAGGATAATTCAATGCTGTAGGAGCAAAGCAGAGAGAAGGTGCATTTTGACGGGAGGAATGGAGGAAGGCTTTACAGGGAGGTGGCTCGGTGCTGAAGGTGATTATGTGTTCAGTAGTGGGAGGGAGGCATGGAGGCAGAAGAAGTCAAACCTGATCAGGGCAAGGCGAGAAATGCCCCCTTCCTCCGTGAGCGGAGACCCTAGGACAGAGCTCCCGCTGAGCCCCAGGACTGAGCAGTGCTCCTGCCAGCATGACGGCACCGAGTCCTACAGGCTACATTAACAGCCTCTGCCTTGACTCATTGTCCCTTTTTTGTTTAAATTATTTGTTTCTAAATGTTTCTCTGGCTCCAAGCGTACCGCCAATGTTGCCTCAGTTTTCGTGTTACAAATCATTTACATTTTCAAGAAAATGAAATGCCAAAGAAATATGACTTTTATGTTTGAAAAACTATGAAACACGAAATGACCTGTGTCCGGGATTTGATTCAGAATGATCCCACGGCGCCAGGGGTGAGGCATGGGTGGGGTGTACATAAAATAAGACTAGCTGTGAGCTAATGGCTATATGGCTGGGTGATGGGTACACAGGGATTCACATTATTTTGTTCTCTACCTTTACAGGTGTGTATATGTATGTATGTGTGTTTTTTTTTTTTAATCTAAAAAAAAGAAAAGAGAAGAAACCAGAATTTATAAAGAGACAGAGACCTTAGGCAAAACATGTGAATTTTCCCAGATGATTAGAGAAAGAGGAGGGGGTCAGGATATTACTGTGAAGAATAGAATGACCTGTCTTGTGCTTCCAGGCCAGACCTTTCCCCTCTGTACATGCCCTTCTTGTCTTGTTTCTTGCATGGTCTATACAGCAGGGCTGGACATTTTGCAGATACTGTCTACTTGTTTATAATTCTCAGGACAGCTCTCAGAGGCAGCTTATTATTGCCGTATGCATTTTATGTGGAAGGTCATTTGAACCGGGGAAGTCACGGAGGAAACAGAGCCCCAGAGAAGCAAAGTCAGATAGGGGTTGGGTGATAGGGTCAATGGGACAGTCACTGCTGTTGGCAGGGCTGCCCTCATGGGACCTGGCTTCCCCAGCAGTATCTGTCCCGGCCACCTCCTCTGTCACGCCGTCTTATCACAGACTTCCTAGGAATCTAAGATAAGCCCATAGATCAAAAAAGTTACATTATTTAGACTTACGGAGTTATTTCTCCCTTGTTTAGTAGGTTTCTAAATGTTAAACTATTAGTCTCTTAAAAATTGTGCTACTATTTTTTTTAATCTTATTTCTGAACATCAGAATTATTGGGTGATGGATGTAACCTCATCAATAAGATGCTCTAAGGACTGTCATAACCAACCCAGTGATGAACCTTGGTACCCACGGGTGCCCTGTCTCTCTCAAGAACACACAGAAGAGGGGAATCGAGGCTTTTCTTTAGGACCCTAGGAAGTCAGAATATTCATCTAGAATAACCCTAGGGCCCAGATCCTTTGGGGAGTGCCTTAACTCCTCCAGGATGAGAGAGTCCCCTCAAATTATTCATCATTAATGCCCTAATGACATACTCCAAAGTTGAAAATTCTCCAGATGTAAGTATTAACTAACTTAACCAAATCCGGCATCGGTGAATTTACCTGAAAAATCACTGTTTTTCTCAAGGGTGAAAGGAGAGGAGTAGAAAGTCTAGAGTCTAACACTTAGTCTTGATTCTAACCCTCCAAAGAGAACTTACCACAACTCCACACTCCTTTGCTTCCCTTGGGATATCCCTGTCCCCTCACTTCTACCCTTCAAGTGTTTTTGGACTACTCCGATCCTTATCAAATTCTGTTTCGTAGGGGTTGAGCCCATTGGGTAATTCCTATGTGCAATGTAAAGTTCTGGCATTACTGAACAGCCCTAAAAAGGCTTCATATCTGCAAAGCAGATGTGAAATGAGCAAACTTAGTTCCTTAAGCTTGTTCGGTGAGCATAGCCCAGAAAGAAATGAACGTGCTGCTGAATACCAGAGCCGGAGGATATGGAGAGGAACACGGCTTATGAATGTGGATCAAAAACTTAACGCCAGATTCTTGTCCACTGAGATGTCATTTGCTCAAGTACTTTTGGGCACCTTCTGTGTTTGAGGCACTGGACTACATTCATGGGGGCGGGGTGGGGGAGGGTTCCAGGAGGTCTAAGATAGACTCTTTATCTCGAAAAACCTGAATGCAGTGTGTGGTGTCTTTGAAGGACTCCTGTTAAGTGCTGTTGGGGGTGTTAGGGAAGGCTCCGTGGAGGGGCTGCCTTTGAGCTAGGCTTACGAATGCTAAGAATATGAACAATGAAGATTAAAGGAAAAGAGGTCATTCCAGATGGAGAAGACTCCAAAGCAAGATAAGGCCCAGGATATTTTTTCTATTTCAGGTAGAAATGTAAATCTTCGGAATCCAGATCCATTAAAAATCTCTCATATTTCTTCCATTCTTTTTTTTTTTCTCTCTCTCTCCTTTTAACATCTCAGGATTGGGATGTAGCATACAATTTAGAGGTGACATGCAAAGTTTTGATGGTTTACTTAGGTATTGGCCTTGTAGAAAAATTAAGATAATCAATAAAAGAAATTTAGGAGGTAATAGGCAGCTTAAATACAAACCACAGATGAGATCTATTTAGATCTAAATTTTAGATCTAAATAGATTATTTTTAAAGGTATCCCTTATTTTTCAAAGGATAAGAAGAACTGTTGTTGAGATTACTAAGTTAGAATAGCCAGAGTTTATGGAAGAGAATTTAACATGGAACACAGTGAGACAAGACCCCTGGGTTCAGACATTTTAGTGGATAGCAATGGTGTATGTAACAGGGAACAAATTGTTTCTTTCTGGGCTTGTTTTCTATTTGTTATGCTCATGAAGTGATTGCTTGGTGGGGCGGGGGGAGTGGTAGGAGGTAGGCGGCCCAGGCAGCATCTGTGAACCTTCTAGCATTTTCTCAACCCACAGAAGTTTTACTGGCCTGTGCCTTGCCCATGTGTTTCATATCCAAAGAGTCTATTAGCGGCACGCACCATAAGGTGATGGGGCTTAGCGCTGGTAATGCCGTGAGTCACGTTTTCGGTATATATTGACATTCGTTCTTAGAAGTCGGTGATTTCAAACCTGGAAGGGGCTTGTACAGATGCAGAAAGGGAGATTCAGGCACATCCACAGAGTCCAGCCTTGAGCCTTGTCCAGTGCTCTTTCCAAGACACGTGTTGCCTTCTGACCTGGGCCTCCAGAGCTGGGATTGGGAACTCTGGCCCGTGGGCCAAATCAGCCAGCGCCTGTTTTTGTAAACCAAGTTTTATTGGCACACAGCCATGCCCAGTCACTTAGTGTCCACAGCAGAATGGAGCAAGTTGCAAGAGAGATGGTCTGGCCGGCAGAGCCTAAAATATTTGCAGACAGCCTGACAGGAAGCATTTGCTGCCCCCTGTTCTACAGCGTTGTTGACTCATATGTAGCGTGTGCTTGAGGTCACAGGCATGATGGAGGATGCAGAAGTAGAAAACACTGTCCCTGGTCTCAAGGAATTACTTGCACTTTAGAGGATTAGGCATGCCTAAAACACGTAGAAGGAACAATAACAGGTGATGTAAGAAAGGAGGCAAGTTCGAGACTGTAGGCTGTTTGCAGACCAGTCCGGAATAGTTACAATAACATCATGAACATAAGTAAAATACAGCTAAGTGACAGAAACTGATTCTTTGCATACTTGGATAGTGTAGTTAAATGGTCCATTCATTTGTTCAAAAATGATCATGTATCTCTCTATGTGCCGGGCATTTTTCTAGGCGATAGGGTATAGCGTCTCTAAATGCCAAATTTTGTGTCTTTGCTGACATAAAGCAACATCCCTCTGACTTTACACCATCAAACAAGCTAAGCTCCTGCTTTGGTTTTCACCGTAGACAGCTAAGTCTTAAAAGAAAAATTTTAAGTCATTTTGGCTTTCTCTTAAAGTTCTTCAATTCCATTAAAACCTGAGTTACCAAACTTCCTGTCTGCTCGTCCCTTCTTTGGCCTTAA